ACTATGGCATCCTGATTTGGGATATTTATTAACGGAAAGGTTTTCAGCCACTGCCAATTAGTTACCAACAAAGATGGCTTTCAGCATCCCCAATACTGAATATCAGTGCTGCAGCATAATGTAGCTAGTACAGAGACGTTAGCACTCAGGAACAGATGGTTCATTGATGAGGATGAGCTAGGATTACACAAAGTCATTAAAGGCTGTGCTACTTGCTGTGAAGGCATGTCCATGTGGGGCAGATTTGGCTTGAATGAAGGTAGTGATAATATCCTCTTAGCCTCTTTTAAGTGACCCCGTTTTCATTTCCATGGGAGAGAGAAAATCCATTTCAACCATGACCTTATCATTTCCCTAAATCCTAAGCCATTTTTTGGAGTCAGAGGTCCATGCCTCTCAAAGTCAGAGGTTATATGAATGGCATATACAAAATATTTTGTGTCAGAAATCAGATGCAATAAATAATATGAAATAAGTGCCATAGATTGCACTGGGTCTTATAGCCATGGGTGGCTAAAAACCAGAGTAAGTAAAATGTACACCTTGAGTAATGTCTTATCTGTTTCCTCAGGCAGCAAAATGTCTTGAGCCAGCCCTGAAAGGGCTTCTATATTGCCAGGGTTCTAGGGGAACACAATGCTTTCTTGTCTATGGAGTCTGAGCCAGACCGTGTCAGGGGACTACGTAACGGAGCAATCTTCCAATGTCTCAGGGGGTGGGGGGAAGCAGGGACAGATTTCCTTGTGCAGTAGTCTTGCATGTGATCCATTTACTGTGCCCCACAGAACTTGGTGGAAAACACTGACGCAGGATCAAATAAATATGTTGCATCTGGGAACACAGCTTATGGTAGGGAGAGTCAAATCCTGTCATCCTCTGGTGACTTATGTCCCAGACATTGGTGACTACATACCAGATCGCTGCCCAATTTACTTTGCCCCATAGAACCCAATTAAGAGCCAAACCCATCCATCTCAACATAACCATATTCTGGATACCATTTCTTAAAGCTGAATCTCAAGCTAATATGGACACACACCCTCTCAAGTACGAATGTTGAATGTAGGGACAGAGAAGTTTGATTCCGTTTGCATTTATAGGTGAACCGATCTAAAATGCGGCCATCTTTTGAAATTTGCACTGCACTGAATATTGCAACACAGCTTGCCAGCAAAGTAATGTGTAGAAAACTACAGATATCGAGTGAGCAAAGCAATGCGTGTATTAGTGAAAATAACACACACAAATACATTGTAGCAGGGGAAAGTGCTCTGCAGAAATGTGTGTTTTAGGCAAAATTGCATACGAATGGGTATATTAGCAGAAATTCGCAGCAGAATGCTGCTGAGTATTCATGGAGACTAAAAAATAAAAAAATAAAACACTGATGTAGAAATGTGGAGAAGTAAAGTGGGAAAATTTGAAGCTGAAAGGCAGTGAAATGGACAGAGGTCTCCATGCCTCCTTGAGCGTGGGCACAGGTGTGTTTTTCATCCCTTTCCCCTTCAAAATGCATACAGGTGGTGGGAACCCTAAGGTAAAATACCAGCAGAGACCAATTAAACGATATGAATACATTAACAACTCTGTGCCTTCACATTATTTGCCACATGTCGGCCTAATATGGCTCCCCTCTCCGATTATAATGCACCTTTGTATTTAGCGCTTGGCAAAAGCTGCTAGCTAATGTTTGACTTCCAGCAGCATACATGATTTAACAAATCCCTTGAAGAACTGCTATGGCACAGACCCAGACTACTTCTTGGTAGTTACATAACCTTTGCATGAACTTTGAAAGTTGAACAAAACAATAGCAGATTAAAGCTACGGTGGATGGTTCTGAATACTGTACAATCCCCCTTGACATCTCTCCCTTTTATTTATTTTCATTTTTTTAAAGGCTCTTTAAAAATAGAATACAAATCACCATTCCCTGACCTATGATTTTTAACTTGTTTTGGACATGAGATAGAAAACAACTGTATTCACTGCAAAAAAGAAGAAGTTTAAAAACAGATGTTATCACTTTTGTATATGTATTCCTGAACCTAAAAAACAAAGTCTGGGAGGTGGCAAATCAATTATTAACTTGTTTTGCATGAACTACTCATCACAATTGAAACCACCAGGGTCATGAGCCCTGTTTTCTTCTAGGGTGGAAGCAAGGCACTCCCTGAAAAACTGCCATGGAGTGAGGGATGAGATGCCCTTCAGTCACAGCCATAGCTGCGTGGGAGACCCTTTTCCATCATGTGGTCTGAAGAAAAGAGGGGAAATCACATGGCATTCCCAACTCCCATGTAGCTGCAAGGGAATAAATACATTAACCAGATCTTTCTGCAAAGCTCTCAGGCTGTGTACAGACATCCCCCAAATAAATGGGGCAAGTTGTATGTACAAGTATACATATGTATATGTGGTGTGTGCGTGTTTGGCTGTTATGGTTGAATGCTGTATGTATGTTGCTTTGGGTACTTGTGAATAGAAAAGTGAGTAGCAAATACTACAAAAGGAATTAAACACATGTGTTTTGCCGATCCACTGCTGTCTGTGATCATAGTCGACTTACTGAACGTGGGAAATGGTAATCCATCTCAGAGAGAAAAGATGAAGATTGACTTGAAGTTGTGTGGTTACTATTGGCTAGCATCCACGATATCATTGGACAGATGTAGCCTTTGGTGTCCACCAAGCTAACTAATCTTAAAGATGGGTCTTTTGAGAATAACCTCCTCCCTAAATTCAGCATTCACTTCTTTCTCAACAAGGCCTGTTTTAATCTCTCTCTCTCTCTCTCTCTCTCTCTCTCTCTGTGTGTGTGTGTGTGTGTATGCTTGTGTGTGAAAGTTAGGGTCAGGGGAAGCTAAAAGTTAGAAGACACATTTTTGCTTAGTATGAAAATAACAATGCAATTGAAAAATTGCTAAGATTGCATGAAGATCTATCCTTAACTTCTTGAAATATGCAAATGTTGCATCATTTTGCATAGAAATTGCATGCCCTCCATCAAATACTCTGAGATAGCTGGCAATGGAGAGATTAAAGAGATTACTGGATTAAATTATTAAGGCACACAGACGCTTCTTTCAAACTCCCATATGAGTACAACATTTTGCATCTAAATACACCTTCACTTCAAATGAGCTATTTTGCCCTCAAATATAATTAGTATCACTCTAATAAGACCAGACATAACTGGGTTAGAGAACACTGTAATTTATGAATAATATAAATACTAGTCTTTAATGCCAAAACTGAAGATTGAAACTCCAGACAACTATGTGACTTTCATTAAATGGAGTAATTTCAATTCTTCAGTAGGTCTCTTACATAAAAATCAGAAATTGGATAAATGGCCTCCTTATTCGCAATTGCTGTTGGGGATATTGAAGTCTGTGAATTTAAAAAGTCTTTTGGTTTATAAAAGAAACATATGACTTTAATTTCCCTTCGTGACCCCTGAAAAGAAGGGGTGTAACTCACAGACTTGCTTTGTATCTCAAAGAGAATCAAATCACTCATTTGACTATGTAACTCTTTCGCTGCCATGGGCAGAAATAACTGAGGGCCTTGTATTATACCACAGGCAGCCTGCATAGGAGCAAGTAGACAGGGAACCTGATGGTGATGATCATCACACTTTAGTGCTGGACTTCTTTTCAAGAAAAAGTCTTCTGAAAGAGAAGGTCCTATAGGACGCTGGCCCTTGGGGTGGTCCATGTTGGTCCGACTCACAACCGCAACCCAAATACTTAAGGCAGCACACTCAAGCAGTGGCACATACCTGCTGCGCTGTCTCGCTCTCTGTCTCAACAGCTGTCATGGATGCAGAGGAGGGTGATTTGTGAATGATTGTATTAAAGGTAAGTTGTGTTGAAGGTAAGTTGCAGCAGACTCCCTCAATAAAGATGGAAGGGTAGTAATGTGACTGGGTTTGTGGTGTTTTACCATAAGACATGACCTGGCATTAACACTTAAGAGGTCTAAGATTCCCTGTATGTGGTAGCATTTACTAATATTCAGCAGCAAAGACTTTAATTGATGTTAAAAGGAAACCTGTGCTTATCCCTTAAACCGGTAATAAAGTAAAGATGAGTCATGATGAAAACTTAACTGGATTTTTATTCATACATGCTCAATGAGGGTTCAAGCTTAATGGTTACTCTGATTAGGCACAGCCTTTTGTTTCAGACAAGAATCACGGAAGTAATAAAGAACTTTACTTACAACTTTCAAGTTAAACCTGTTTCTAAATAAACTGACTCTTCCTAGAATGGCTATACTAATCCAATAAAACCCTTCTAGCCCCTTCTGGGATCTTCTCCTTCCCTTCAGGGAAGCAATCTGGTTTGCCCTGCCTAGCAAACCCCTAACCAATCAAATCCTTAGTCAAACCCTAACTAACTGCTTTCCAAGCCCTAACAGCTGAGCTGTCAGGTGGTGTATTTTAACTCTCCTGACTTGTGTAAAAAAGTGAATTTAAAACATTACAGCCGTTTTTATCCAAGGGTCAGATATCCAAATGCAACTCAAGTCCTGTATGCATGCAAATCAAAGTACTATTATAACTTCTGCTTGTATTCATTTAGCTATGTCATCTTCCCCATCCCAGAGGCTCAAGATGAATAAGAAGTGTGAAAACCATATTGATACAGGATTTGATTACAATGACCACCTGCATCTCTGCCAACTTAATCCTAACCACTAAAAATGGCCAACAAGGAGTGTGCAGAATGCATACCAACAAGGCTATGGGAATCATCCTTTGTCTACGATTGCAGGATCAGTTTCTTAGGCCCAAATGACCCTCCCAGCAGATAAGCAAGCAGTCACATCCTATCATTGTTTAAACTGAAAAAAATTAAATTCCACCTGAATTTGGCAATGAAGCATCAATTCCATCTCAGTTAGACAATTATAATAATGGAATCCTAGAACTGTAAAGCTGGAAGGGACCACAAGGATCATGTAGTGCAACCCCATGCAATGCAGGAATCATTTGCCCAGTATGGGTCTCAAACCCACAACCCTGAGATTAGGAGTCGCATTCTCTTATCAACTGAGCTATCCCAAGTCATGATAATAACATGAATATACAACAAACAGATTTCATGCAGACATGCATCTTCTTTCCTGGTACCTGACGGAAACCCAGGCCATATCCCCCCAAAAATGGCCGGTTCCGGAACCAGCTATACATTCACCCTCCCATTCCAACTGGAACCAGCTGGGCTCCTACTTCCTAACCATGGAAATGATTTTGTAATGATGGTAGGGTTGCCACCACAATGGCGATCCTAAATATAGCTTATAGGAAAAGCTACAAATAAAATGGCCCACCCGCCATTCCAGCAGAACAGGCATAGGCAAACTCGGCCTGCCAGATGTTTTTGGCCTACAACTCCCATGATCCATAGCTAACAGGACCAGTGGTCAGGAATGATGGGAATTGTAATCCCAAAGCATCTGGAGGGCCAAGTTTGCCTATGCATGCAGTAGAACTTTGTCAGCAACTCAGCTTTCCCCACCACTCAACACTTCTCAAATCACTTTTGGGAAAAGCAATGATTGAAGCAGATTTCATTCTTGTTATTCCTATATTATAATAGTCTGGTAAAAGCTATTTTCCCCTTAATTACCCCTTTCTCCATAGACCTGAGAGCGATTGGAGAAAGATTACAAGGCAGCTTTCCAATTGAATTACAAAAGCATTGCACGTGGTTGTCCTATTAACTTCAGAGTGCCGATGTGTTATAAAATGCAAATTGCAGGAAAGGCGGCAGTAATTTGTTTATAAATATGTTAATGTGGTGGAGTAAATGTCATGCCATCTTTGAGGTGGTGGGGGAGGAATGGCTGATTGCCAAAGGTGCCTCCTAGCATGGGTTTCAGAGGGCAAAATTGCAGTTAATAAAAACTACCTTTATGTTTTGTTTTACTGCTTTTCAGCACAAAGTGCTAATAACCAATTTACATTAATGGTATTGGCACACATGTAAATGAGGCGCTCTCTCTTTCTCTTTGTTTTGCTTTTAAATGGCAAAGTGAGGTTCTGCTGTGAGGCTATTGCATTTCATTAGCTGTGGGGATATGTGGAAAGATGTGCAGGACATCCTTGATGGGGTTTTGTTATGCCACAGAAGTTATGAAGCACAATTTTGTTAGCACCTTGGCAAACGTAGAAGCTGCTAGCTAATGTGGTAACCTCTGGATGGTGTTGTATAATTATTTATTCATACATATATACATACCCTGCCCATCTGGCTGGGTTTCCCCAACAGAATATTAATAATAATTTTTAAAAAGTGATAAAACATCAAACATTAAAAACTTCCCTAAACAGGGCTGCCTTCAGGTGTCTTCTAAAAGTCATATAGTTGTTTATTTCCTTGACATCTGATGGGAGGGCATTCCACAGGGTGGGCGCCACTACCGAGAAAGCCCTCTGCCTCGTTCCCTGTAGCTTCACTTCTCACAGTGAGGGAACCGCCAGAAGGCCCTCAGCGCTGGACCTCAGTGTCCAGGCTGAACGATGGGGGTGGAGAAGCTCCTTTAGATATACTAGGCCAAGGCCATTTAGGGCTTTAAAGGTCAGCACCAACACTTTGAACTGTGCTTGGAAACGTACTGGGAGCCAATGTAGGTCTTTCAGAACCAGTGTTATATGGTCTCGGCGACCGCTCCCAGTCACCAGTCTAATTGCCACATTCTGGATTAGTTGTAGTTTCTGAGTCACCTTCAAAGGTAGTCCCACTACAACTCCAAGCATCCATGACCATTGGCCATTCTGGCTGGGACTGATAGAGGTCTGTTCTGTACAATATAGGAATCGGGCAAATAGTGTTGTGACATCTACCTTTCAGCATTCTCTTTCATTACATATTAAACCGGTACAGTGGTACCTTGGTTTAAGAACAGCTTAGCTTATGAACAACTTGGATTAAGAAGGATGCAAACCTGTAAGTAGGTGTTTTGATTTGTGAACTTTGGCTTGGCATAAGAACATGCTTCGCTTCCTGTTGAATGTGTTCCATTTGTAAATTGAGTCTTCCGCTGTTATGGGAAAGCAGGCCTTGGTTTAAGAAAGCTTTGGTTTAAGAACAGACTTCTGGAACAGATTAAGTTTGTAAACCAAGGTACCACCGTACTGCCTCTGTTGTCTTTTCAGCACCTGCTGAAGACCTTCCTCTTCCAACAAGGCTTTTAAGTAGAGACCTTTCCCAGTCTGCATCTGTACCAGAACTGTTTTAGGGGCTTTCATTGTTTTATAGTACCTTCTACTCTGTGAAGCCAAATAAATATTTTTGAGAAGGTATAAACAAAAGAAAGAAGCATGAAAATACTACATCTTATAACTTTGCTGAAATGAAAACCTTAAGAAAACACAATGGTTACCTTTTTACTCCCAGGAGACCCAGTCAGAGGCCAGGAAGAGTACCTTCTTTACAACATTATCCTACAACCTCAGGTAGCTTTTTTAAGGTTACAACTCTAAAGCTATGTACACATTAGCAGCTGAAAATGCAGCAAGGTCGTTTTTCTTTTCTGCATTTCAAGTCCCATTTGCACATTGCTGTACATACCAGAGAGGGAGCAGGAATGTCTTTGCCAGGTGGGCATTGCCTGGTTGTTTCCCCTCACTTGCAGCTGCCCAAACTCCTATGCAATGCAGCTGTCATTTGTGCATGTGCTATCCTTTGTCCATGTGCAAAGGCTGTCTCAAATGTACACACCTCAGGTTAACAACAACTTAAGTTTTCAAACCAGATGGATGCTGATTTGAGGGAGAATGCATCAAAGAGCAACATTTCTCAAGGAACTAAAGGATATTGATGGATTGCGGCTAACACCATGTGTCCTTGGCTTCAAACACCAGTGGTGAGAGTCCCCTGGAGTCAGAGTAAACAGTAAAATTATGCAATCTAGAATGCAAAATCCCTCGGAGTAACACCTCTCAGAAAGATCTATTCTGCAATCCCCTCTTCACCCCCTTCCATGGCTCAATGTTGGCTTGAACATTTGTTCCAATGGTCCTCATGAACTGCTCCACTGCGCACCTGAGTTTGAGAGGCAGAGAAATCATTTGAACAGACAAACTTTCCTGTTGCACCCAAGACTCTTCCATACCTGGCTGGGAGAGGGGAGTGAGAAAAAACAAAATGCATTCTGTGTTGCCTTTGCTAATAAAATGACCCCAGGAGCCCAAAGACCTGCCCTTTCCATACAATACAATAGTGATTTTAATCTAACAGACCTGATTTAGACCAATTAGCTTAATGACACCAGGACAAAGAGAACACCGTAAAATGACGATTTCTGTAAGTTTTGGAGGCAGGTACGGAAAGAATCGTTGGGACTTACTGAATTAACATTTTTTCAATACTGGACCAAAAGAGCAACCATGGCAACACCGTGATTCCACCCACACAAGCCAGTAGTATATAGAACTATAAGATTGCTGGATTCATCTTGATATTTTTTGTACCTAAATAATCTGTAATAAACATGTTCTTAAAACGAGTGGATATACTGAAAGTTCATTTATCCACATGCCTGCATTACACAATCTTCAATAAATTGTTGTGGCTGCAATCCTATACACACTTACTTGGGAGTAAGTACCATGAACTTAACAAGCTTTCTTCCACATAGAAACATATAAGAATTGCATTACAGCTTCATTTATTTAGTGGTTTTTAATCCCATCCTGGGGTTAGCAATGCATTAAAAACATCAGATATACACCCCAATCAATTTATTAGTTTCATCTCTTTGTCTCTACTGGGAGGGGAATGAAGAGAGGAGGAAAAAAGGGAGAAGGGAGAAGGAGGTCTGGCTGCTGGTGGGGGGCGGGGGGCAGCAGGGAATAAAACATCCGCTTCAACATCCATTCATCCAGCATGAATTGACTTTTCCTTTAGCCTCTTCACAAGCAAGAAGGCAGTGCAGTGGTACGCCCTTTTCTGGCCACTTTACCTCCAAGGAAAGAAGCCAAAGGTGGAACTTGTCAACTAACCTGCCATTGCTCTGCTTTGGATCAAAGTAGAGAAGGGTGAATTTTTCCATTTTAGCTCCTCACTCCATTTCTCATTTTTCCAATCTTAAATTTAGTTCTCCACATGTTCAGAGGGTAATTTAAGAGAGAGAAAGTCCTCATGAAATTTCAGGATTTCAGTGCAGATTTCTCATAATAAGAATTCACTTTTTTTTGTAAAGCAGTGCTCCCTAATGCAATACACTTCTGTATGTTTTTTCACTAATATGTGCATAGTTATGTGCACTTGAATCAGCACATGCATTTTGTACACCTTAGTTAGATCATAGAATCATAGAATTGGAAGAGACCCTGAGGGCCATCTAATTCAACCCCCTGCAATGCAGGAATCCTGCCCACAGCCATCCCTGGATGGGCTCTAACAAACAACCATCTAGTAAACAGCCAGACACACTGACCCATTGCACCACTGGGAACATACTGTACTTGGCTGGAGAACTGCACAGCAAAATTCGGAGAAGTGTGAATTTTGATGGATGGCTATGTTTCAGGTCATGGATTGTTTCAGAGCACATGAATTAAGTAGATCGACCTTTGAATGAGAACCAAATTGAATTTCTCCACCCTCCATAGGGAAAGGATAGTGGAAAGAGAGAGTTGTGTATAGAAACTAGGCTATTGTTGTCGTTTAGTCGTGTCCGACTCTTCATAACCCCATGGAACAGAGCACACCAGGCACTCCTGTCTTCCACTGCCTCCCGCAGTTTGGTCAAACTCATGCTGGTAGCTTCAAGAACACTGTCCAACCATCTCGTCCTCTGTCGTCCCCTTCTCCTTGTGCCCTCCATCTTTCCCAACATCAGGGTCTTTTCCAGGGAGTCTTCTCTTCTCATGAGGTGGCCAAAGTATTGGAGACTCAGCTTCAGGATCTGTCCTTCCAGTGAGCACTCAGGGTTGATTTCCTTAAGAATTTGATCTTGCAGTCCATGGGACTCTCAAGAGTCTCCTCCAGCACCATAATTCAAAAGCATCAATTCTTCGGCGATCAGCCTTCTTTATGGTCCAGCTCTCACTTCCATA